GATCACAGGCAAGAAAAAAGGCGGAAGGAGGGGGGGGGGGGAGGCTGTGACAAACACAGGGTGTAAAGCACAGATGAACCAGCAGTCAGACTGGCTGAGGTGAAATTGGATATAAAGGCTGAGCCAGCAGGATAATGAGCAACAGGTGAAAGCACTTGAAGGTAATCAATGGCCAGAGTAAAGCTGAGGTAGGTGGGAGTGGCACAATGAAGAAAGTCCCTTCAAAATAAAAGTCCAAAACAGGAAACAGCCAGATATCATGACAAAATATCCAAACCTTTCAGCCCCACAGAGGCATCAAAAATCTCTCCCATCAGTCACAGTCTTTGCTGTTTAAGATCCTGGATTTTTGGACATATAGGGGCATCGTCTGACATGCTTTAATTTGCTCACCTGCTCCTCATCCAGAAGCATGAGGCCCACTATCACTATGTTAATGTTCCCACCTATTGTGCCATCTTTGAAGAGACTGGAGACCTAGAAGACATGTAAACAAACATTAACACTATTGCTTAGTAACACATTTACTTGTCTGCACTGGCCTTATCAGTTCTGTAACAATGGCAAATTCTGATGACAGATAAATATATCTGTAAAGTGATTTTAACAGGCTAAAGACTTGTAAGTCTTGGCACTGAGACAATCAAATACACCTTCTTGCTGAACATAGGCTCAGCTGTTTATTCCAAACCTGATTTGCTATTACCCAGTTAAACTAACATTGGGTGAGTGTAGACATTTTCAGAGAGATTACAATGGCCTGACATTATGTATTCTGTCATCAAATATGCAGTTATTAAAATCTTCTCACACAGAATTAAGTTTAGATATTATTACAGTTACTATAGTTAAAGGATACGGCCAGTCATTTTCTATGTTAACAGTATTTTCAACACTCCCCATACAGAGACTAAAACCAACAGTCATTTGCCTCTGCTCACTGTTAATGTCTGTCAATCAATTATAAACACATCAGGGAAACACAACACTGCACTTAGTGATATATTTCTTCATTTTGAAACACAAGATTCTAATAGAAGAATATCCAGAGATCTTGTGCATGGGCCCTTGACTCATGCTTACTTCAGATGTTGTAAAAGGTTATGGCTCTCTGGAGCCTTTGGGGCCCCAGCTTTAAAAAATATCAGGGTCTGGTGATTCGTAAAGAGGAAACGTCAGCCAGCGCGACGCTGCGTTTAAGTGTGTTTCTGATCATTTTTGAACAACAATGGAGGTCTACGGCACAGAAAAATAAGCTAATCTAGTACTGACAAACTGACAGACATTAGTAGTGGTAAATCATCATTGGTTTTAGTCTTTGTATGGGGAGTGTTGAAAATACTGCTAATAGAGAAAATGCCTTTACCTTTAAATCTACAGTATATATGTATAGACACATACGTATAATCGAGAGGCCTGTATCAAATGTATGAGATCACAAACCTCACATTCCTGTAGAAATAATATACAAAGTTCTTTTGATGATATTGTTGAGTTATGATAGCCTCAACTGCTGTTTCCAATTCTTCTTGTACATATCTGACCATTAGTCATAACAGTTTTGGCTTTGAAAGTGGACTCCTGACCTTTTGCTATTGTTCGCTCTCTGCCTTTCTCTTGGGTCCTGTGAATATCTCAGGTGCCAGTCACTAATCCTTTTTTCTATTTGTTCCTTATGTTCCCGATATTTGGTGTTCCTCTTCGCTGACTCATGAGAAGACACACACAGCTGTGCTTTGTTAGTGAATTCAAGCAATATTCAGAGGTCAAAGAGGAAATTGAGCCCACTTATTTAAACTAAGATATCCTGGAACACCAGCGCTTGACAACGTTTCAGACTTGCACAGTGATTCACTGTGTTTTCACTGCTTTAAAAAAGAAACAATCAAACCAGTTTCCATAGTGTTTCAGTGTTTTGCGGTACATAACACCCAGTATGTTTCTTTTCTAAAGCAGACATTATAAAATGTTTTTGAAATCTTTCCATCCCACTGTTGAAGAAAACATAAATCTACACAAATGCTGAAATGGCTTATCAGATTTAATTTTCAGCAAATACTGGATAATATTTTTAAGACCTACGAGAGCTGGCAGGTGTGGGAGGGGGTTGGGTGTTTTCAGTGAAACTCCATACTGTATTTAAGTGACTCCTCTAAGACAGGCTATGACTGCTCCAACTTGGTTTCTATGTTTTCAAAATAGATGGATTATCTTTGGATTTGTCAGTCAGTTGTTAAGTAGCAAAACAAGCGTGACAGAATTTGCTTGCAGATCAGCTGAGACGGATGACAGGAGATTGTCAGCATCGTAGTGATGATCTCACCCAGATATCAGTTTCATGTTTGTAGATGTGATCTTTCCCATACAGTAAATGAAACGGAAAGACGGGGTGTCTGTTCTCTAAATCCCAAACTATGGAAAGCTTTGAGTTGATATTAAGCGTCTCTCACCATATTAAGCACAGTAAGAACATATGTGGTAACGTTCTCCTGGCCGTGGTTGTCCATCATCTTTCTGTCCACCACCACCAGCGTCTCCACATTGAGCTTCTGATTGACTTGGTTCTTCATCAGCACTGCCCTTTTGTTCCTGGGGATGAATCTGTACTCATCTGGGAGGATAAAAACATCCTCCTCTGGAGGTTTGGGCATGTCTAAACAAAACAGATGGGGAAAGATATGGTATGGTGGGTGGTTGCTGGCAGAAAAACAAAACAAAACAACAACAACAAAACTGTTCAGATAAAACAATGGCCGTCTTCGCTGATGAGCGTTAACCAGTTATTTCGACAAGCAGCTGACCGCCATATTGAATGATTAACCATAGTATATTCTTAATTTCATGACCTGATGTCATGGATAAACTGGAGACCTTTTTTCTGATGTTGACTCTGGCAGTCTCAGTGTTATGCTGCCACTAAGGATAGCGTGAAATCAGATTATGTGATATGCTGTGCATTCAGCAGAAGCTACATAATGTCTACATACAAATCCAAATCCACTGTGTTCTTCAAGGAAATTTCTGAGCAATTTCATATTCTGTCAACAAAACACAATGTTAGATATTTTAATATAGTATGATAGATAAGCTTTCCCTCCTAAGGGGAATTTGTTTTTATAAAACATAGTGAACCAAATTGCAATAAAATCAGAATACGAGCTTATTGTGAAGCCTTATCAGCACATACTTGTTAAGTGAAGATGTGATTTAGGCAAACAAAGACTTAATCTCAATATCAAATGAACAGTTCCTCCCTTTTAAGTCTGCTTTTGAGAAACACATCCATACTAATTTCTACATTATGACATGATTATGACAAGAGGTCAATTAGGTCAATAGACAAAGGAAAACACAGCCTAAAAACACAGTGGCTTTTGCATTATCACCTCACACCTTCACTGTCATTGTCTGAAGTTGTCTAAACCTTCACCTATCACTGCCTGGTTGCGATAAAGGCTAGTGAGTTTGCTCATATATGTGGAAAGCAGGTGAG